TCTGGACATGTTCCACTTTATCAGTGTCCTTATTAAATGATGGTAGACAGAACTAACCTGGGACGAGCTCTGATGATGGCATAGAATAGTGAGATTATTGTCTCCTTATTCTCAGAAGCTTTGCTCCTCTTAACACAGTTCAAGATTGCATTAGTTTTATGGCTACCCGTCACATTACTTATAAAGAGAGGGAGGAGTGGAGGTTAACACCTTGGTTGCCAAGCTTGGAGGACTGGGAGGATGGTAGTTCAGTTCACATGTTTTTCAACCGTGTCTGACTCTTCCTGACCCCATTTGGGGTTTTCCTGGCAAAGATGTTGGAGTGGTTTGCTATTTCCTCCTCTAGCTCATTTTAAAGATGAGGGACTGAGGCAGGGTTAAGTGACTTGCCCAGGGTCACCCAGCTAGTATGTGTCTGAGCTTGTTTCTGAACTCAGGAAGATGAGTCCTCTTGTCTTCAGGCCTGGTACTCTATCTACTGGGCCTTCTGGTAGACCAGATAACTATGTAGCATGTTTAGAGGGAATGAGGCAGTGGGAAAAGTGGGAGGCAAGGAAATTATTAGAGAGAGGAGTTTCATCAATTATTGATGGTAGTGGAGTTCGGGGTTAGGACAAAGTCAAAGATGTCACCATTCTTGTGAATGGCTAAAGTAGAATGAAGATGGATATCATTGGGTGTAGACGAGGTTGATGAATTAGGACGTTGTCAGTGTGAACATTGCAGTCACCAGGGATGATGTCACGGTTGGAAGGAAGTGGAAGTGGAATAAGCATTAATCAGATACTTATTTTGTGCTGGGCACTGTACAAAGGCTTTGCAAATATTATTTCATTTGACCCTTAACAATAACCCTGTGAGGTCGGTGCATTTATTATCATCCCCATTTTGCAGGAGACAGAAGTCACGTGTCTTGCCTGTGGTTACACAGCTAGGAGGCGTCTGAGGCAGAGTTTGAATTTGGGTCTTCCTGACTTCAGTCCCAGTGCTCTACCCACTGGGACACCTACTTGCTTGAAAAGGAAGACTGCAAGCCAGGCGCTCAGATCATTTTGGGAGGGCGAGAGAGTGGTGTTCTGAAGGCCAGCAGAGAAGTTTTGATGGAATTAAACGATGGGATGATGGTGGCCGTGTCCTCGCTTTGGTTAATGGATTATCTGCATATTTGGTCCGTCTCACGAATGTATTGTTTTGGAATATAGCTGTGCTAGTATGTGTTCAGGCTTCTCCCTGCTATAAAGTTTCCATTCAGTTGAAAGTTTATGAGGAAAGTAGCCTGGCAAGCCCAGACCTGAGCTTGCCAATATGGTCAAACCGGTATTTCCATAGCTCAAAAGATAGATTGTCTCTAGGTCAGAACCCATAATATAGTTCCTACTATATTGGCACACCCTTCCTTTTGAATAGGAAGAAATACTAAGTGACTTGGGCATATGGGGGTTAATATTCCCCTTTTTAAAGACTGAAACAGTCTCAAAGCCTCAAAGGGCTCCAGTGGCCAAATGCTATTTTATTTTTCTGGCTAGAATTTTTCCCTCAGAAATACTAAGGCAAAGGTTTTTGGTTTTCTTGGTGTTTTGAAACTGTTGCTAGTTTTCTCTTTGTTATCCATAGTACTGCTCTTTTCCATTTTTGTAATGGTTCAGTTGTAGTCATTTCTAGGCTTCCTTCTAACTGGGTTGTTACCATGTCCAAACTTTGACTCACACTTAGGTTTTTAGGTTACTATTTAGGTTACTATTTTAGTTCAAGAGCTACTTAGAAAATGAGTGGATATGAATCCACCACATAAGCTGAAAGCAAGAAGGCTGACATCGTTTTGTTCGACTCAGAAGGGAGCTTCGCATTTTACATTCTGATTTTATGTGCTTAAATACATTTAGTTATGTTGTAAGAAAATCACTTTTAGTTGGAGACTTGTCTGAATGCTGCTATCCTACTTTCTAATTTGTAGAATTGCAATTTTAACCATTCTAACAAAGTTTCAATTTAATGTTTATCCTTGAGTGTTTCAAATATTTGTTCATTTTACAAAATTGAGTGGAACTCATGCTCCAACTCAAGGGTTGGTGTAGGTCTGGTTCATTTGCAGTTAAAATCATTTATATAGTGTCCAGCAGATGTAGGGCACTGTATTTGCTGCTGTGGGAAAGGAGATAAACAGGAGAAATACAAATTAACCTGTTCATGTAGTGAAGTCTTATAGTTATTAATTTAATCAAGACTTGTAGAGCTCTGATATGCATATCTTATGTCTTAATAATGCATTGAAATGGAGTCTCCTCCCTGTAGACATTAGTGTATAGTTCACAGACAACAGTGAGTATTAAAGAACCCTAAAAATTTCATATATTATTTAGAGTTATTGGTCTTTATCACTTTATTGGTATTTAGGTCAACAAATAAGAATAGGGCTGTCACACTCAAAGGAAAATGAATAGTGTTAGCGCAGTGCTGAGCTTTTGGTAGGCTCAGTAAATTATGATCACATTGAATCGAGTGAATGGAAATCAGGCACTATTTTGATTATTCTGATTTAGCTCGGTTTGAAAAAGCTTCTTATAGTGCCATAGCATCTTAGAGGTAGAAATGTATTCCTTCCTTTAGCAGGTATTCCAATTTAGATGCCTGCACCTTTGGAAGAATAGCTAGATAGATTGATAGTTAAAGAAATATACTTTAGCTTTTTTGAATTTTTACAAACTATAGATTAATAATCTAGTCGAATTCTCAAGAATATGTGGGTGAATTAAATTTACATAAATGTACACATTAGTTTGGTAGTTCAATCAGAAGTAGATGGTTGAGGTGAATATTTGGCTTTTTAATGATGATTTTTATTTTTTGAAAAATATTCTCACTTGCTAGCTGTGTGACCCTGGGCAAGTCACTTAACCCCAATTGCCTCACCAAAAAAAAAAGGCAAAAAAATTTTTTTTGCTTCACTGATTTTCATTTCTGGCCCTTTTATGTCCTTATGAAAGCCCTACCCAACTGTTTTGACATGGCTTGGAAGTGATGTCTGGGGTCTCAAGCCTAGCACAGTGTCTAGCACATTGTTACTAAATTGGTACTTAAATTGTTGACTGTTGCCAATAAAGCAAAGGCTCTGGTATGTTATGTAAAGATTGTCTGCCATAACCATGCCAAATAAAATCATGGGTCTTTTAGAGTATGACACTTTGTACCTCTTCAACAGCTCTAGAGTTTTACCTAGACCATTGGTCACTCTCCCCTATGCAGATTAACCATAGGAACTTCTTTCATTTATGTACCTTCTGACTCTTTTCTTCCCCATGATCCTCTCTTCCTTCCCTCCTTCCCTTTTTTTCCTTCCCTCTTTGCCTCCCTCCCTTTCTATACGTCATGGTTTAGTAACTTTGTCAAAGAACAAAATAAGGTTGATCTGGCATCACATGATTTTGGTAATGCCATTTTGGCTCTTTGTGGTAATTGCTTCCTTTTCTAGATAATCACGAGTCATTCCTTTAATAATACAGTCTAGAATTTTACCAAAAATTTGTCAGATTTTGGTCTGTAGTTTGCAGACTCCATGCTTTTACTTTCTTTGAAAGTTGGAATAACTCTTGTCCTTCCCTAGTCCTGAAACACCTCCTGTGGTTACAATTACCTTTTATATATCATTGATAATGACTAAGCAGTAACGTCTGCAAGTTGTTGGAGTACTCAAGAGTATAGTTTGAATGGGTCCAGGATGTACATTCATCAAGAACAGCTAGGTGCTATCTTAGTATACCAGTCAGACAATCAACAAGTATTTATTAAGTGCTTACTGTGTGCCAGGCACTGTGTTAAGTGCTGGGCATATGAAGAAAGGCAAAACACAGCCCCTTCCACCAAGGAGCATTGCATTCTAATGAAGAAAACGTGTAAATAATTGGGTAAATAGAAGATATAATACAGATGAATTTACATCTGAAAGGGAATGTCATTAACAATTGGAGGAACCAGAAAAAACTTCCTGTAGAAGGTGGGTTTTGAGTTGATTCTTGTTGGAAGAAGCCAGGGAAACTAAGAGAGGCAGTGGTGATGGGGCAGAGCATGCCAGTCATGGTGGACATTTTAAAAATAGGGAGACAGGAGGTGGAGTATTATGTTCCAGAAACTGTAGGTAGGCCAGTATGCCTGCATGATAGAGTGCCCTCAGGGCACTTATATTCTTCTGGGGGCAGGGCGGGGAAGGAAAGGAGGGAGGTACAGTGATATACAAATAAAGTACACAAAAAGGTATAGAGGAAATGATGATTATATTTCTATCCTTGTCCTCTTCCCCTGCCCCCAGCAAAAGGATGGCAGGCTCACTAGACTGTGCAGTTTATGCTTCTTCCCTGACAAAATGCTGTACATTTTTGCAGACACAAATGCACAATTGCTGAAACTTGGTTTTCTATATGATTGTCATTTGATAGCTTTCTGTTTGTTTATATAATTAGTGTAGTATCTGGGAAAGAAACAAAGCTTGAGGTGGTTGTGATTTTACCTTAAGTAAAAAAAAACTTCATTGACCTAGAAAAATCACTTTGTGGCCCAAGAAACGCTTGTACTAGAGGAGGAATGTTATCTGAAACATGCAGATTCAGTTAATAAAATTCTTTCAGAGATTTTTTTTCTTGATTCTGACCTCTTTTTACCCTTCCAGTTATTCCTTTTTACCTATTATTAAAAAGAAGAACCAATATTTCTACTGGAAGTTTAGTGATATTGAAATTATTTGCACAGTCTATTTAATTTGCTTTTGGGTGGGGTTCGTGTTGTTTTTCAGGAAACAATATGATTCTGGCAGTCTGTAGACTCAGGGTGAAAAGGATACATTTCCTTTGTACATAGCTCAATTTGAACAGGCAGACTGGGTAGCCTCAAGTTAATTATCTAGCCAGCAGGATTCCTGTTTATATGAAGTTTTTTTTTTAATGACTAAGGGTTATTTAAACACTTTTTAAATGTTTTAACTGGCAATATTTTTTTTTTTCTCTTTGTAGTTTTGGCCAGGTTGAATGTGGCAAGAGAATTCTGCCGTCCTGAAATGGAGGTCAGAGCTTCCTTACAGAAGGTTAGTGGGTCATCTGATTCCATGACCACACTAAACAGTGAAGAATTTGTTTTGGTACCTCAGCAAGCAGATGATACCTCTACAAAAGATGATGAAAAACCTCAACTAAAGGTATATTTTCTTTTCCTCAGATTGCTTCCATTTATTTATTTTACGTTTTTAACATTTGAATGGATTCTAAGTAAATATCTGGAATCAAGTTTTTCCCCCTTAACTGTTGATGTGTTCAGAAGACTCCAGTTAACATTTATTTACCTCGAAGCTGATTTTTTTTTTGCCAGGTTATTTTTTTTTTGCCTTTTGGATTTTGAACTGCCAAATCACAGCTGCAAAGGGTAAGACACACGGGGAAGTAGTTGAAACTTTTTCTTAGTTGGCTCCTGAGGGGGGTTATTGCGTTTCCCATGTTTCTGTTCATTTATGCTGTCCTTCTGTCTCTGTCTTATTCTTAGCACACAAGATAGCTGAGCAGGTAATCAAGTACAGTGGATGTTTTACTTTTGGTTTGGTGGGATTTTGCTTTCTTTTTGATTTTAATATTGTATCTTAAGCGGAACTTTTGGTATAATGGTCCTGTTACATTTGCTGTGATTTGGATATACATTTTGGCAGGTTTTCATATCTGAGAGTATTTATGTGGAGATTATTCTGTTTCTTGTACGTTGTCAGTGACAAAAAGTAACACAGTAGTAACAATCCGAGTATTCAGGCACATGAGAACAATGTAATAATTCAACCACATTTTACTTAGTAAATGTTTGTTGACTGACTGATGTCTAAAATTGAGATTAAAAAGTGAATTGAGTGCCTTGAGTGTCTTGAAAAATGTTGTAGGAGTAAAAAGTTTTGATGATGCTGTTTATTACATTTCCAGTTCATTCTTGAGTTGTGTTGCTGTGTTTTGGATGATAGAATTGTGAAAGCTTTAGGAGCAAGTCAGACATTTAGAATAAAAATATAGTCTTTGAATGGAAAGCACATGAAAGTTATTAAATATTGATTTTACCTTCAAAGGAATAATACTTTATTAATCTAATGAAAATATAATGATTTAATATTTTGGTAGTGATTTTGATGCATCTTTTTCCAATTTTAATTGTACAGGCATATACTCTGCCTCGTGTCATTATTTCTCTGAAAGCATGTCTGGCTGAAACGGAATGATGGGAGTGAGGTGGAACAAAGTTACATTGGCCAAATGATGTTAGAATGGAGTTTTCCTAAAAGAATTTGGTTATTCCATATTATCAGTATTATTGAGAGGCATTGAGGTATAATGAACTGGCCTTGGAATTAGGACAAAGTCCTACTCATTCCATATACCAGCTATGTTAATATGGGTAAATAATTTAGCCTCTCTGTGCCCCAGGTAACTCTCTGAGGCTGGAAATTACGGGCAATTTACCTCTCTGCTTTGGAGGATCTGTGAATTGGTAGAGGGAGATCCTACACTGAAATCATAGGTCTAAAATAACAACCACAAAAAGTTATTACTCAAAAACAAGGTTGGTTAGGTTATTTATAAGATATGCCTTTGCTGAGTACATGTTGTACATATTGTAATCTTAACTGCATAATTAAATCCTTTTTTCATAACTTACATAGGGTTTAAAATGACCTCAGTCAAGTAATTTAAGAAATCAATAGGACATCAAGAGCTTATTAAGTTAAACCGTTGTTAGTAAGAGATAAGATTTTTGTAAAGAATAAGTTTTGATTGAAGTTAGTCACAAATGACAGTGTTTACTTGAACTTTACTTTATTTTTTTGTTTCAAACAAAAATTATGGAATAGTTGTGTTCTTTAAATTGTATATATTGAGTTTTTGTAAATTGAATCACTTTTTAAATGCAGTAGAAGAAATTATATCCCTATAATTTCATGGTGAAACCACAAGAGAATGAGCACCTTCTCATTTCTTAAAATGTTTGAGGTGAGATTTATGTCAAATTAGGTATAGGTTGTATTTTCTTTGTAATATATGATTGCTTCAATTTGTCTGTTTCAAGCTATAAAATGTTTTGATTTGTGTCTTGCATGTAGCAAGCATTCATCAACAAACATATTGAATTTTATATTTATATAACTCTAAGTCTGTAGACAAGTTTAAAATTTATTGCTGCACTTTTTTTTTAAACTTACAGATAGTCTCCAATGGAGATGAACAGTTAGAGAAGGCAATGGAAGAGATTCTGAGGGATTCTGAAAAAGGTCAAAACCATCTTCTCGATTGCGAAAGTTCGACTGAAATTTGTGATCATTCGTTTACTGATGTTTCAGCCAACCAAACAAATAGGCCTTCTCTCCAGTTAGTGTTGGATTCTTCTAATGCAGGTACTTTGCTCCTTGGGTAAAGAAAGTTTAGAAAGAAGTTTCAGAGGAAAGTGGGGAACAGACTATGAATTTAATGTTTGTATTCCCCAAGGACTCTATTTAGGGGAAACAGCTTTCATTCTGGTTCTTTTCTTCTCCTTGAAATGAGCCCTGTTTCTGGGTATCAAATAGCTGGTGAGATCGGCTGCTGGTCTAAAATGTCAGTTCTGTCCCCTACTTTTTTCTGTTGTCTTTTTAGTACAAATTGGACTAATTTTATATATTAGAGTTAAGTCTTGGTGAAGATGTGACCTAATGTTTTTTTTTCCCCTAAGTTAACATGTATTAATGTACAGTAATGTGAAAAATATGCCCTGACATTTCATAAATATTTGTTGGCTTATCTAAGATAGCACTTTAAATTGTTTACTACTGTATTGTACTTGAGGTAATGGCTTGCATTAGGCAGGTAGGAATTTTGGTGACTAGACTGCTGGCCCTAGAGTCAAGGACACGAATTGAAATTTGACCTTAGATATTTACTAGCTGTGTGATGCTGGGCAAGTCACTTCGCCTATACCTGGTTCAGTTTCCTCAACTTTTAAATGGGGATAATAATAGCACTAATCTCCCTGAGTTGTTGTTAAGTTGAAATGACATAATATTTGTAAAACACTTAGTACAATGCCTGGCAGCTAGTAGGCACTTGATAAATGGTTATTCCGTTCTTCTCTTCTTTAGTTCTCCAAAGAATAGGGACAATTTTTGATATGTTAGGTTTTTATTTAAGATTATCTGCCATGATGTTATAAGTACGTAATTTGTGTTATTTAATTAACTGGGACTATGTATTTGTTCCTTTAATAGTATTAGAAGAATTTTGGAGAATTCTGCTTTACATTGTGCAATAGTTAAAATCTTCTTTTGAATGATTAATTTTTCATTCATTCCCAACCAATTCAATCAGCTGCTATTTGAGTAACTATTTTAAATGTCCAGTGCTATGGGCTAGGTTTCAGGAAGTGCAAAACAAAAATAATCCATGGTCTCCATTTGCATGGAATTCATAATCTACCTTGGAAGACTAAACTATAACACATGAAATGATTATAATAGAATTAAGTGTAAAAAATGTGTTGTAGTGACCAGGTGTAATAGAATTCTAGAAAGAGGGAATGCCATTGTAGACCACGAAGGTCTTGCATGGTGATGGAAGTTGTTGTGCTAGGTCTTGAAGGATGGGCAAGATTGTGATAATTAGAAGATTTAGATAATTTCGATCATTAGAATGCTCACATTGGAACAAAAATTTGAAAGGTAGTTAGGTAACTACTTAACCTATCTTGAAATAGCATAATTTCTGTGTAATTTAAATTGTAAGGTTAATAAAAGGCCAGTGGAGAGATACATGGAGGGTATAAATAAAGATGCAGCATATTTCCATTGATCACTCGTATGCAAGAGGTGGTATTAGAAATTTCTGTGAAGAAATATCTGATTGAAAAAGCTTGATCATGTGGCTTGATTTAGTGATAACAGGTGGGTAGCCTGAGTGCCATAATGGTACTTTTAAAAGATATGAAGTCAGGGCAGCTGGGTGGCGCAGTGGATAGAGCACCGTCCCTGAAGTCAGGAGGACTTGAGTTCAAATCTGGCCTCAGACCAGAGACTTGACACTTACTAGCTGTGTGACCTGGGTAAGTCACTTAACCCCAATTGCCTTAAATTAAAAAAAAAAGATATGAAGACCTGGAAAATGGCTTTCAGCATGTCTACTAGTAGATCCCTTGTGAAAGACTTGTGGAAAAACTTTGGCAAAAATAACAAAAAATGGAAGGCGTAGATGAGTTGCCATTTATACTATTAGAAAGAATTCCAACACGGATACAAATCTATTGGGGTCATGTGGTAGTTCTGTCATCTTTTGTCAGCTTCCATTCCTCTCTCCCCCAATAGTGATTTGTGCCACTAGATGGTATCACGTGCAGTAGAAATGTCCGTGGTCCCTGTTATAACTTCATTTATCACCATACGTCCTGTAATGAGTTTGGGCTCTGTGTGCTTTGTATATATAGGCGCATAGAAAAGAAGAGAATGAGTAGAATGTAGACCCTCCCAGGAGTCTTACCTGACATACTCAGGACACATTGCTTGGTTTCATTTTGATATTTTCCAAGATCATTCTGTGGAGCTTTGACTTCTGTAATTTGGGCTACAACTGTAGGTTGGGAACCATTGAAGATGTGCTGCTTCCTTGCTCCCCCCACTGCCTTAGCCTTTTATTGAAATCCCTGAAAGCTCAGACAATCATTCATTTCCTGAGTTCAAAGTAAATTTGCAACCCTGCTGTAGACCAATTCCCTATTCTTGACAAATTGTTCTTTCCCTGTTCTTATTCTATGATCCCTCAGCTGTTTTTAGTAGACTTTGGTGTAGAGATTTCCAAAGATCTTTTGAAAATTTATCTGTCTGCCTGTCTGTCTGTCTCTCTATAGGTAGGCTTGCTCAGGAAAGAATGTGATAGGAATGTAAGTTTATCATTTTGAATGTGCTTAGTGCTGTCATTCACGTGGCCTTCAGTGTTTTTAAAGGACCATATTGCTGTTTCTTAGTGATAGGTGAGACAGAGAATTCAGAACAAGAAGGACAAAAATAATAGAAGACTTGGGATAGAGTTTTAAATCAAATGGGCATAAAACCAGAGAACTGCAGACTTGCCAGGAATCTCAGAGATCATCTCCTCTAGCCCTCAGTTACAGTACAATCACAGTTATTATAGCCCAGCCCAGCCTTGCCGACTAGGACCACTGGGTAAAAGCCATTAGAATAAAGATTCCAGTTCATTTAAGGAAATATTTCCTAACAATTGGACCTATCAAAAAAAAAAGGAATGGATTGCCTCATAAGACAGGATGGAAAATGATAGAATATGGTGGGATTTCCATATCTGTTTAGTTCCGTATTCTTCATACATTGATGCATTCATTAAGTTTCAGTCCAGTCTGTGTCTGGGGTGCTAGGTTTTGTCCAGAGAGAGAGAGAGAGAGAGAGTGAGTGAGAGAGAGAGAGAGAGAGAGAAAGAGTGTGTGTGTGTGTGTGTGTGTGTGTGTGTGTGTGTGTATGTGTGTATATATACATGCATATGTGTGTCCTAGGAGTGTTTGGAACAATTGAAGCCGTTGCCTTTTTTATTTTTTGGCAGTTGGGGTTAAGTGACTTGCCCAGGGTCACATAGCTAGTAAGTATCAAGTGTTTAGTCTGAGGTTGGATTTGAACTCAGGTCCTTGTGACTGCAGGGCTGGTGCTCTAGCCACTGTGCCACCTAGCTGCCCCTGCCTTTTTTTTAAAGAGTTTTATATATTTTTTTTAATCAGCCATTTCAAGAACTACCACCTCACCCATACCTTGAGAACACTCTCTTGAACAAAGAAAAACAATGAAGCAATTATATACATTTGACAGAATAAATATTTTGCCCTGCCTTTTTGATGTTGGAATCATAGGATCATAAATTTAGAGATGGAAGGGACCTTATGGGTCCCTTGTACCAGTCTCTTTCTTTGAAAACTGAGGATTTGAGTCCAGAGAAGTTGTCACTTGCACAAGTCTTTGACATTGTATAATGTTTAATACTTGTATTTTATGCTCTTTTGTTTCTGCTTATATTTTCTTTATCAGTTCATACATTTTCCTGTGTTTCTAGGAATGCCTCATATTTGTCATTTTTTTTTCTTTTTTTGGTTAGGCAGTGGGGGTTAAGTGACCTGCCCAGGGTCACACAGCTAGTAAGTGTTATGTGTCTGAGGCCGGATTTGAACTCAGGTCTTCCTGACTCCAGGGCCAGTGCTCTATCCACTGCACCACCTAGCCGTCCCAAATTTATCATTTCTTACTGCATAATAATCTGTTTTAAATCAGTGAAAACACGTTTATTAAACCCTATAGGCGTATATTGGGCTGCTAGGTGGTACAGTGTATATAGTGCCAGGCCTGCAGTCAGGAAGACTAATCTTCCTCAGTTCAAATCTGGCCTCAGACACTTACTAGCTGTGTGATCCTGGGCAAGTCACTTCACCCCATTTGCCTTAGTTTCCTCATCTGTAAAATGAGCTGGAGAAGGCGCTCCAGTATCTTTGCCAAGAAAACCCCAAATGGAGTCATGAAGAGTTGGACACGACTGAAATGACTGAACAACAACAATATTCATATATCACAGTTTACTCAACCATATTGCAGTCGATGGCACCCACTTTGTTTCCAGTTCTTTGCTATTACAAAGAGTGTTGCTATGATTATTTTGGTGTTAATTGGAATTCTGGATACTGGCTGTCAGTGGTAGGCTAATGGGGGGAAGTATTGCTGTTTCTAGGGTTCTTGTACTTACCAAACTTGCAGTGGCATTTAGTCAACAATTGGTGTTGATGATAGTGGGCTTGGCAAATGGAAACATACAATTAAACATGATTGGTTAAGGATGAATTAAGCAGCTAGGTAGGAGAGTGGATAGGGTTTTGGGCCTGTAGTCAAGAGGACGTGGATAAAACTCTAGCCTCAGACACTTACCAGCTGTGTGACTCTGGGCAAATCACTTACCATCCTATAAACTCAGTTTCCTCAATTACACAATAGGAATAATAATAGCACCTACCTTCTGGGGTTGTTGTGGGATAAAATGAGATAATTTTTCTAAAGCACTTTGCAAACCTTAAAGTGCACTATAACTTCTAGCTATTTGTTGTTGTTTTTATTACAACACCTTAGAGTCAATAGGTAATCATTGGAGTTTAATGAGAAGAGAAGTGACATGGTCAGATTTGTGGTTTGTGAATATAACTTTGGCAGCCATGTGGAGAGTGGATCCTAGTGGGGAAAAACAAGACAGGGAGAGCAATTAGGAAGGTATTTCAGTAGTCCAGATGAGAGAGGCAGAGGGCCTGGGTGAGAATGTTGACTCTGTGAGTAGCGAGGTAGTGGATATGAGAGATTTGCAGAAGTAGAGAAGACAATATATGACAATTGCT